GTCACACAGGCAGCACGTGATCACGCTGCCACTCCCGCACGGCGCACCTCTCACTCGCTCTGCAATCTTTATTGTTCTGCAGATTCTAAGCCTGTTCTCGACGAGCCAACGTAACGTCGCAAAGGAATTAGTGTCTGAAAAATGGCTTTTCAAACGCCATGAATGTTCTGAACGGTACAGAGCGTCTCCAGGAGACATCATGCGCCCGTGGTAAAGGCATCATTTCAGTTCCCACTGGGCATGAACGTGCACTTTTATTTCTTGCAGTTGCCGATTGCCTCTAGAATGGTGATGTCATATTAAATATCCCTACACTAATACTCTTATCAAGGATAAACCTCTAATTGGCTTTCCAAAGGTTTAATCGTGTACCTATGTTGAGCTTCTTCCACATCGTGCGTAGCCAACTGCGTGAATAGAAGGTGCGGGGGAACGACAACAAACTAAACACAAAACGCAGTTATCAAGAAATTCGTTTTCAATCTATATCTAAAAGTGCATAGCTCCAGTGGCTTCCTAATATGGGAAGAGCGTTCCTGACGCCCGCAGAAGCGCATCTGAGAACGTGCGACGCAGTGACCGTCTTTGTTCGATGGCCAGCCAAAAGCCACTGCGAGGATGGGGGAGTTTCAAGTGAATTCCGCTGCTGGATGAAGGCCTCCCCAGGCCGACTCCACCTAGCGCAAGCACACCACGAGCCGACCAGCGTCGCTCCACCTCCGCGGCGGACGTCCTCTCGGCCGCATGCCCTCGCTTCGCTGCCACCAAATCGCGGCTCTCATCCACCAGCCACCATCCGCTCGAGCGGCGCGTCATGCCCAAGCTCGCTCGCTCTCCCAACAGTCAAACTGATGCCTTTCACCTGCATGCTCTCCGATTCATGTGTTCCTTTTTATGCCTCGCAGTATAATGCCATGCATGCACCTCTGCACACTTTTTTGCAGGATGTCCAGCTTTTGTTATAATTTAGTGAATGCCCAGATTTCCAATCCACATGTCCTAGCGGTTCCCATGAACCGACAAAACGCTTTCTTCTTTCGGCACATTGCAAAGTTGCTTTTCGTTATCGAGTTCCGCTTTCCAAAAGCACTCCGACCTGCTCTCATCCATCTCTGAATACCGTCTCTATGATCACGGGCCTTCTCTAACGACCGTTCTTGGCACATACACTCTGCTGTATTTTCTACCCGACAGATGTCTCCAATTGTTGAACCAACGTGTCGTATGCTCCACCCAGTGTATACTAGCCACCCCATATAAGAATAGGTTGTATCCTTTCTGGCAATAAAACAGGTGTGTTAAGATGTTAAAACACCAAACGGAAACCTTTTGCAAGGAATCATGTCACTGCATTAACCACATCTACTTGTGCTGAACATGCAAACAAAAAACACGCTCTGGTAGTAGATGATGATGCATTGTCTTTGAAACTGTTTGGTCCACACCAGAGACGGTTTCTTTTGAGCCTCGTCTCAAACAGTGTCAGACCAGAGGACGCCAAAAGGCGTACAGCCCCAAAACAATGCCACTGTCAGAGTAATGAGAGCTCGGGGTTAGCAGCTACATCATGGGACCTCCTTTTGTTTGTATTTTCACCACAAGTATTGTGGTTAATGCAGACATGACTCCTTGCAAAAAGGCTTCAGTTTGGTGTTATAACATCTTGACACAGCTGTTTTGTTGCCAGAAAGGGTAAAGCTATTCTTATATTTTGATATTGGCAAGGGAGTGTAATTGTATATTTATGAGTGTACAATGGCTTTAACATCCATTATTTATCCAGAAATCTACACTCAGGTGTTTTCTGATTATAATGTGTGTAGTGAGCACCCTGCCACTACATATGTATGGCAAAGCACCAGGCTATAAAATATTGTTTTAGCAAATAGTGCCATAGTTCAAATCATGTTTATTCATGTGATTGTAAGTAGTACTCAATATTAAACAATTATAAAAGTTTAAAGTTAGCTATGCCGAAGTAATCTTAAAAAATTTGTAGCCAAGAAAATAAATAAAAATGTATCCCCGAAGCAGAGCTACAAAGTGTCTGCTATTGAGTTGTTATGACAAAAAGACGTTCACTACATTAGCAACACGCATGGATTACATGCTCTTGAGATTACATTCAGACATAAAACGTCTCACTATATCATCACGTGAAATGTGTGGTAATTTTATAAACAGTCAAACATTGTCCTGGTTCAATAAAGCCAGAGGGCCCCAGTCACAAGTCTATTTTCACCGTTATTCCAGCAGCGTCTCAATGGCACCGTCACGGCATGAAACAGCCATTGTCTCTTGAACTTCTCTCGCACCGTACGTGGCCAGCCGTGCTCAGCAGAGGTGCAACTCGTGCCACAAATGCAACATCCACAAATCACAAAACCCAACACATTTCTCAATAACGCTGTTGCCTTAAGTGAAAACAGCATATACATGCAACAGGAGACTTGCATTAACATTATTTAGATAAGTTTAGTGCTATAAATGTCCAAATGATGAACCACTTTGTTGAGTGATCATTTGTGGCGAGGTTGCTTCTGAAAAATAAGTTCATACCTGAGTGAGCTTTGCCTGGTAGGATGGGGATGGTTTAGTTTTATTAATTTGTGTTTTAATAATTTATTTACCTTTCTTGTACTTTGCACTATTATCATGTTTTTGTATTTTTTGCTGTTGTGACGATCCTACCCGCCCCTACCGGATATGTGAAAGAGAGCCACATAGCTCATCGGATTCCTCCAGAATAAATATTCTGATTCTGACTTTTCAGGGCAACGGCTTTTCTTCTCGGCGCACCAAAGTGCTTGTGCCCCGCTTCCAATGGAGTAGGTAGCACCGAATCATTGGTTTAAATGGCTCGGAGCTCAAGGCGAGCAGGCTTCGGTGAGCGCAGCGTCAGGGCGACCGCTCTCGAGCGGCGAGCGCCGAGAGCGTGCGGCGGCCCATTCTGGAACTTTGTTGCGGTATTTCCGCACTACGGTTTTTGAAGGTTTTTTCGTGGTGCGCTAATCTTTTGAGAGAGCTGCAAAATGATAGCCATGCACGCACACAACCAGGGTGACTGATGATGAAAACAAATAAGATGTGAATAAAATAAGCAATGCTTTTGGTGATTATGTTATGGCAATGACATCAAACAGCTCTGTTCTGCCTTTCGAATTCGAGGTGAAAGAATGTGGAGCCACGTGAGCTCTCTTGCTAATCTGAAACAGACCCTGCAACACTCTTCATGTGAAGTGCTCTTCCCAATAACATCTGGCAATTCAGCAGCGTTTGCTCCACAGTTCTGACTGCTGATGAGACCAGGTCGAAACCAGCCCCAGAGTCTGCTTCCTTAAACACATTCTGCTTGACAATACTGGTATAGAAAGTCACAAGGCTGATGGACTAAAACATTACACTTCTATTTGTATGAGAAGTATTTTTTGTTATCCTTCTCCCCCCTGGCGGTGGCACGTGCCCCCCACCCCTCCCAATGATCTGATCGAAATCCCTAATTTCGATCGGATCATTGGGGTTTATTAGTAATAAATCGGCCTTTTGCGACCCCCACTGCCACTGCGTAGCATATTATGACGTGCCAGGGACTCAATGAGATGATAGGACAATAGTCCGAGTCCATAATTGGCAATAAGTAGTGGCAAAGCAGTTATAAGTGACTCACAGAATTGTGCGCAGTTGTGTATACAGTACACGACTTCCCTGAAGGCATCAACACCTTCAGCGAGCGCGATGCCGATCACACACGGTTCGAATTCGACCCTCAATAGATGGCTGCACCATCGCCGCACACGCGTCGAATAAAAAGCAAGGGACAGGTCCTTACTTACTAACAACTCCTATCATTTTTCATCGCTGGAGGGGTTGCCCCCCTTCTACCTGAAAATCCTGGCTCCGCTATTCTTCTCCCGCACCTCCAATTAACAGTTAGCGACGTATGGTGCGAAAGAAGTTCAACTTACATACATACAAGACACAGAACATATCTCTGCTTATGTATTCTGTACGCTGGATTTAAGATGACCGGATATGTAGTCACGCCACCTTTGTTGTTCATCTAAAGCACCCTGGATGCCACATGATGGGTTGGCCACGTTAGTGGAATGTAAAGTTTTCTTAAACGGTTAAATCTAGGATTTACAGTGCAGCACCTGCTTGCTGACCAAGTGCGTCACGCCAAGTGGCTTAAAGTCATTCATTCCCTTTATCGCTCTAAACTGTCAAGCCAAGGGTCACGGTGCAGGCCTCTCTGTCACTCGACTAAAGGAACTTGGAAGCTGCTGAACATATTAAAAAATATGCAAGCGGAACTCCATTCAGTCTCCATATATGAATAAAAAAATATTTTTTGCCCATTTTTCCATCAGCTTTTTTGTGTTGAAGGTGCCGTAGTTGAGATGGGAATGCCCTTGCTAATAACATGTGGTAACCTAGCAGTATTTTCTTTAATAAGCCTGACTGATGATGAGATCCGGGTCAAAACCGGTCAACAGTTTGCTTGCTTTAAACATTTCTGCTGGATATTGGTCTGGAGAGCTAATAGGCTGATGGACTAATTGTTGTATTTATTATAATTATTATTACATGCAAAGAGAAAGTATGTCTCTCTATATTGTGAATACTTTCACCAAAAATGCTCCACAGCAACGGATGAGTTTATGAAGAACACGGCACCTACAATAGACTGTAGAACACATTCACCTGCCTAGTGAAACCAGACGGTAAACAATGGCAATTAATACTTGAAACTTCGCGTGATAATGTGCACCTTCAATTAATTCTGCTTTGCCTCCTTCATCAAACGAGTGTTTCTGAACACGTTTCTGAAATATTTTTTGCTAAAAGATACGTAGAGTACTGTACACACACATTGCCACATGCCGACACTCGCTGAAAAACCTCTGCATTCATAATAACAATTAGTATTGCCATCGCATCACACGCCACCAAGCAGAGGGAGGGTCACCCCAGACACATTGGGTGCACGTCAAGGATACATTCCCAGTATGACGGCTTCCAGACACTTGATGGGAAGAGATTCTTGCACCATCTCACGAGCGGAATCCATAAGCCTGTTGGGAGGCAGACGTTCATTAATCCACTGTGTCAAACGATTGGAGGGTTGGCATCGATACAGCTCTAAGTGAAAACAGACATGGGATAGCTTGGAAAGGCCTGGGGGTTTTTTTTTGCTCCATGCAATGAGCAAATTCAGTGTTATTATGTGGCCCCTAAATTATTATTAATACGACACTTTTTACCCTGGAAAGCCTAACGACTCTGTTTCAGGATACTGCCACAATTTTTGCAGAAGGGGACCCTAGCTGTTATGTTTATTCCAATTCAGTAGTTTATTGGGGTAATTTTGGTATTATTGTTGTTGGTAAATTTGTACCACGATATCGGCACACAATGGCCTCCTCTTGCGAATCGTGTCATGGGATCTTTAACGTCCGCTGTGAAGCAGACGCCGCATATGTTTACGGTTGACAGAACCACAGTACGAGTCAAGGAGGCCGCTAGATTCGAACCGCGGACCTCTGGTGACATGAATAATGAAGCTCTCATCAACATGACACAGTGCCTCATGAGTGGGTTTCCTCCGATATATGCCGTTTGTGTTACTTTCTGCACACTGCTCGACTTTGTAATTCTCTCCCATCATCTTTCCTCCAAGTTCTGTAAACCTTGCTCAACTCAAGAAATGTATTAACTCATGTATATTACGTCGTTAACTCATGTATATTACACCTTCAGGAATGGTTTACTGTTTGCTGCCTTGGTATTTGGGGCCTCTGAGCATTTGCTCAGTAATCATAATTGAATATTGATTAAATATATATGCATTTACACTGAACTGTTATAATGTATTGCTGGTTATTTAAACTGTGAATCACGAGATAATATTCCTGTTATGCATATACACAAACAAGTCAAGTGAATGGCCTGACAGTGTGGGGTATTAAACTTTTGCGTGTGATATATTCCATGATGATATAAGCACGTGTGAAACGGTTGCACAAGGCATGCATCCACATTAGTTTCCATGTGGAAAAAATGACAACCGTTATATGACTGGACTGAAAGTCTGAAGCCCGTGGTTATGCCTTATAACCACGACTGTTCAGACAAAGGCATCTTATCACTCAACTTGTGGTGCGTCAGAAATGAGAATTCTTGCATGTGGCTCATATTGGTGATGTGAGTCACTGCAAATATCGAGGTTCTCAGAGGGCAAGGCATGTGCCGTCTAAAACACGTGTTGTTCGCAACCTGAACATGACACTCCTGAATAAATAACACGTTTAATAAATGCTTCCTTGAATTCTACACAAGCGTATTAACCCTCTATAAACGTTGCAGATGCCATTGTGCAGCTAGAATTTCCGGGTTTTATAATTGTGTATATCATCATCAGGCATGTTCGATCCACTCCTGAAAGCCTACCCAAGTTGTCACCATCCGTCAGAGTCTCGTGGCTATGATTCATTATGACAATTAGAAATACGCCTGCCTACCCAGAAAAATCTCACCGAATCTCACGTGAACATTTTTTCTGGAGGGTCCTGCCAAGTTTTTTTAAGTATGGGGCGAGCATTGCTCCATATATATATATTCCCTTTGAGTAATTTGGTGCAACAATCTATCTCGCTTCTGCACACAATGCGGTGTCACCGTTCCATCTCTCATATTCTCGGTCGTGTTCCCTACGACGGCTGCTGCCACTCCATCGTTCGTCTCGGCCATCGGCCAATCATCCCGTCTCCTCGTGTTGTGTCCTGCCCGAGCCGGCTTGCTTTTCTTCAGGGTCAAGACGACGTCTCTACATTCTGTTCTGTCTCTCTCAGAAACCTGCGACGCTCAGCACCTCTTTGCGCACTTTTCAGCTATTGTTCCCTTTTCTTTGTCACTGAACCACGTTTTCCATCCATTTATCCTGAGCAGGTTTTACGCGGAATGATTCGGAATGATCTTCCTTAGGTACAATGCTATGTTGCTGCTTATCGTCGAAAAGCACTCAAACTGGCTCTCGCTCATCACTTTATTTCATCACATTTATCCTGCTTGCCCAAGGCGCACCATACTATGATGTGTTACAGTCACATCCATTCCCAAATCTTCGTTTGTTTAGAAAATTTGAAATGATACAAATCATTCACGGAGATAGAGATTGCAAGAAGAAAGTAGCAAAATACATTCTCAGAAGAGGAGTCACGCAAGGAGACACGCTCTTGCCACAGTTATTCACAGCGATATTAGATGTTTTCTGAAAATTGGATTGGAGAAAAAAAAAAGAGTATATATATTAATGGTGAAGATGTTAAACTGTATCATACTTGATGGTGACATTGTCAGGATAACAACCAGTGGAAATTAATGTCAGCAAATGATTGAGAAACTTTGCAAAGGCTTCAAAGTGTTCCTCAAGATAAATAGCATGCACAGTACCGTATAAATACACACAGGACAGTTTATATTTTAACAATAGTTTAGTGCATTTTAAGTAAGGAGTGTTATTTTGTATGATACGTTAATTTTGTTTTAATCCAAAACGAGACAGAGTGAACACGGTTACTTACCCAACCAACTGGCCTGCTTTTGCGAATCTCAAAGAACTGAGTCCCAGTGTGATTATATCTGTGTCAAGAACACGCTTAGGAAGATAACAAGCAGCCAACAGCGCTGCGGACAGACGGAAGCCGACGTTGTAAAATATGCACACGACTTGAGAGCCAAAAGCTCCAGGTTCAAAAACGATATTTCATACTCCTTTATATATTGGCACCGATATCATTAGAAACATCGCCGATGTTGTAATTGTATCATACACCGATGTGTACTTTATGTGTAAAGAGCTTCGCATAGAAATACTGTGGCATCGAGCTTATTAGTTTGTACTAACGAACAACAACAAATTTTAGATATGAACTTCTACATCATAATTACACTTGTGGTTTAAGGTTGCATGCAGCTGAATGCAAAAGATCCACATTTCATAGAGATTTTCTGACATTGATCCAAAATGCAAACGCAACTCTCGTGGAAATACTCTGCTCTGTCGACCCGCCCAGAGATAAGGGCACGAGTGGCCCCATTCCCATGGTCCCTTCGAGGGGCTGGAAGTCTGTGGCAGACGGGCCACAATTTTCACCAGAGCACATGACGCACATAAGCCTGCACTGTCATGCAAATCCCCAATGCCGCAGTGTCCCACTGTTGTGTGGACACAACGGACAGATTGTGCCTTGCGGATGTCCGTGAATGGATCCAATACATCGCGATGTATGCACTCTATAGCTACTGTAGTTGACACAAAGGTGTCATCCGCGATGAAATGTAATTAGATAGTGGTGGAGCGATGACTGCACGACTGCCATGAACACGGAGACGTGCTAACATCAGTGGCGAGTGAAGTCTTAAATGGTCACGGCCCCGCTCCGCTCCCCCTCTCAACACCCTCTACCAAGCCGCACCGACCAACATTGGGGAAGTATGGCCAAACAATCCCCTTAACTGACACAGGTGTGGGGGGCCTTCATCCAGTAGGGGATTGACAAAGGAATTCACGTGAGATGTATTCTTCGACAAGACAGTAGTTTGAAAGGAAGGCGAGGGTGACTGCGAGGGTTGGGTGGTACATGCAGCGTACGCCTCTCCAGTATTTGGCTGCTGCTATAAAGTGACACTCGACAAGCCCCTTCGTCGACGTGTCGTTTGTGGCCAACTCGCTTCTGACGAAGAGCTCGACAGCTCAGTTGGTGTTACCTGGTGAAATAAAGCATTGGTTCGTTTTATATTCTTGGTTCTTTCGGTAAAGTCACGGTAAAGTCACGTATATATGAATTCCTGCAGTCACAGGAAGTTTTAAGTCTGGTTAATTTTTTGAAACTCTGAAGTCGTCCTCAACAGACGTTGGGGAACACATGGGGCTCAGGTCTCGGTGCGACGTGTCGCCGACACCGTGGCAGACACGTGCAGGTTTGGAGGGATGAGACTCGTCCAGGAGAATAAAAATCAAACGACCGAGTTCAAACTGACGAGTAATTGTGATTCTTTAATACATTCACTTCTTTCGCACCGTACGGTAGCCAACCGTGCTAATAACTTGTTATCAGTGCATGCATCATGATGGATTGCCGATTTCCGTTTCACCAATCCCAATTTTAAGATGTCACGTGTAACTGCGTCACTATCACTTTCATCGTCTTTTTTATTTTCAACGATAGCAGATGACCAATCAAGAGTTGTTATCGAATTGAGGTAAATTCACAACTGACTATAGCGAATTCGATTCCAATTAGAAAGCGGATGTTTTGAAAAGAACCCACAGAATGGATTGAGAAAGATACACTGGCACAGAGCATGCCCATATGGTCGTGTTGCAATTGCAACGTCGAACGCTGCACACGCCACTGCTCTATATGAGGACATTTGAAGCTGCAGTCCCTTCTAGGGGCGAGCTTACTTAAGGTCTACTCAAGCAGTCAACACTTTCACAGCGCTCAACTGTTTACGATCATTCTAGAATGGGCCGGTCGCTCCGATGCATAAGGCACGGAGCTGTGCACGCACGTTACATGCGCGGATCATCGTGACGTCGAGCACACATTTCGTTCAAGACAGTAAGTTTTTTTTTATTCCACGTTCCACTTGCGAGCTCAGGCAGGCACCTCTAGTACATATTGGATCGATTCTCTTTTCCTGTGAGGGCAAAATTAATTGGAAACTCAATGGCTACTATATTTTTGTTCCATGAGAGCACTCGGATTGAATTGTCCTGGCTCCTTTCACTGTAACATGACACGTCTGCGGGAACGGCTCTGTCAGCAGAAACGTTACTTTGTAACCAATTTGAGTTGACAATGGAAAGAATGGCCGAATTAACACTTGGCAGAGCGTCTACGCTGCGTAGCACAGTACAGTCGTTGTAATTCACATGCTAAACTGTTTCCTCAGCGTACTGGCAGCAATCGTCGGATTTCAGGCTCTGCGCAACTTTCAGCCACATCCAATTATTTTAACTTGACTATCCTCATCGTGTTCTATGCAAAGACTGTTCCTGCCATAGAAATGCGGAGTTGGCAGCACTGATTCAGGGCCACCAACAAATGAACGGTGCAAAACATGACGGCTGAAGTCCACGTCGTGTGAAGTTGGAGCGAGCAGACAATTTGTCAGGCCGGTTTAAAGATTTGTGTTATTTCACCAAGTCCATTTTCGTACTGCTCTAAGCAGTGCACACAAAACCCATTACAGTGTCGCATCCTTTTGCATTGACATGGAAAGGGTTTCACGGTCTTAAACATTGAAAAAAGAATCTGCAAACATTCGATATGCACTCACCATGAGTGTTTGCAAATTGCAGTGGTGATTTTAAAGTTTCGTTTCACAATTCAGTCTACGACCGAATAACCATGAATATGCCCTATCCAACGTTGCATTGTACTTCAACGCTCCAACAACTATGCTCCCCACCTTCACTAACCGGCATTGACCAGCGTGGTGAAATATGGTCAAATAGTGCCTCTGACCTGCATCGCTTGGGGAGGCCCTCATCCAGCAGTGAATCAGTAAAAGGGACTGTACATGTATACATCATAACTTTGGAAAGAGTCACTATAAATGTCCTCTACTCTGCAAACAAATTTGTGACGCGCAGTATGTTTTTGCTATTTGTTTATTCAGTGTGAAAGTGGTCATATACAAACACATATTTCTTATGCCCATTCATTCTATGCGGTCAAGTGAGCTGGTCAAAATGTTTTAAAGGATAGGATAGGGCACCTAACAGGTTACACCTTTCTCATTTAAACTGTATTGAAAGCATTATCATTATGAAAATAAATAAGTAAAATAAGTTACTTTCAAAATCAGTTTGTAAGCAGCCTGCTATGTGGATTACTGACCACATCGCAAGGATCGTGAAAGGGGGCAACAACATCCGGCAGTGGCTTGATCATGGCTGATGAAGAATGGACGAGTAGTTTTATGTTAGAGGTCACCGCATTATCTTGAACAATAAAGTATGAGGTGTTTGTACATTAAATTAAACCTTAATTTTGGAGCTTTCGTGACTGCAGGAATTATTCTTTGGTTCTTTCGGTAAAGTCACGTAAAAAGATAAAATAATAAATTAAATAATAGCTATTCTTTTATTTATTATTTTATCTTTATACGTGACTTTACCGAAAGAACCAAAGAATTAAATTAAACGTTCCTTCAGCAAAACTCTCCTACGTGTAGGGATCACAAGAAAGAAGACAAAGTAGTTGGTGCGTGAGTTGTGTAAGGATACTGTAGTTCCCGCATGTAGGTCTGCACAGCCAGCAGGCGCTCAGGGATCGGCATCGACGGTCGAAATGTCGGCACAGCTGGAACTGGAGGCTGGAAACAAAGAGGGGAGAGAGGGGGGAGAGAGGGGGGAATACAAAAACGGGTCAACACACTCAGACGCACTCTAACGGCCGGAATTCACAAGACTCCCAAGGGCACAGAAGCAGTTTAAAAAAAGCAAGCAGGCTTCACTTCATAAGACTCGTCACCAAGTCCTTGAATAAGGCAAACTCCAAAATGGCCCAGGTCAGCTCTGAAGGGCAGAGTGCAGGGTGATAGAGTAACAACAACACCCTTTCTCAGAGACACCCAAACAACCATCACCACGATGGATACTCCAGCAACTCAAACATCACAACGGGGTCAAGGATGCAAACTGTGTGGTGCAGGTGAGATCTTTATTAGTGTGTTTATCTCAAGTTGTGTTACGGCTTGCACTAATATTGTAATATAACGTCCCTGCCTTGTTTCATACCCAATGTGTAATATGATTTCAAGTAAGAGAAAAACACAAGCAGAACTGTATTCTTTGTTCTTTCGGTAAAGTCACGTAGAAGGGAAATAATAAAATAATAAAATAAAACATTATACAAATTCTCACGACGTCTCGGCCAGAACGCAAGCAGCCGTCCTCATTGCGTTGTGGCCGAAACGTCGTGAGAATTTTTAATGTTTAATTTTTATTATTTTATTATTTCCCTTCTACGTGACTTTTACCGAAAGAACCAAGAATATGAATCCCTGCAGTCACGAAAGCTTTCAATCGAAAAGCAGAACTGTGTTCTGTGTCTCCACATGTAAAACAGGTACTTTATTTTAACAGCCTATTGATTTTTTCAGACCAATATTTTAAAGCAGCATTTATTTAAGCAAGAAATCTCTGCACTGGTTTAGACAGTCTGGATCTCATCAGTAGAGTCAGTCTTGTGAAACAAAGATGGCAGAGTTACATTACTTAAAAGGTTCTTCGGTTTATAAACCAATTAAAAACAACTCAAAAAGTACCACAATCTATAAACTCATTAACTGTATTTGCCATGAAACACTGTTCAAATTACGTCATCATATTGTTTGGTTATTTCAGTTAAGTCACGTAGATAGAAAAAATAAGAAAAATAAAAGATATGTCATCATATATGTCCAAATACCAACTATGTGGGGAAACGTTGCCATGGTACCGTGGTCATGCTCACTGGACCTGCAAACCAGAGGTCACCGGTTCAATGTAAACAGTGGGAAGTGTTCTTAAATTCCCCCTTGCCTGGTCCACCTACCACAGGGGTGGGCGACCTGCGGCTCTGTAAGGACTGCTGCTTCGCGACGTTGTTCATCAAGGGCCACCACAGTCTCGTATTCACTACATGCATCGCGGCTCTTCAAGTATCGAGTTATTTTTTACCGAATTCGAAAAACTTGTCTCTTCTTGTTATGTTGGTTGCCGAATACCGACCTAGCAGCAGTCCACATGATCAAGAAATTGCAGGTCTGCATCTTTACCTTTAACCTTTCCCAACCAAACATATGGGATTTGTTTGAAAATAACCTAATAATTATAAAAGCAGGATTTGGCCAATCAATTCCCGCAGACACACAAGCACATGCATACAAACTACTTTCCGGACCAAAAAAAGAAATCGATATTACACTCAAGTGCACTTGAAAAGTGTGCTCCTTAATCGTAATTAATTATCAACAATGACCTGTAAGAAGCTCATGGGGAATAAGACAGGACTTTTTTATTTTACAAAAAAATGCTGGGAGGAATAATTGTCCTGTGGCAGGCGAAGTGTAGGCACTCCCATCTCTTCCAAGATGTCTGTTCAACATGGAAGAGTAGGCCAAATACCTCTAGAAGTGCTCTCATGATCTAGATCTGATAACGGCCCTTCTGCCAGCAGTGGTGTATATTTATACTGGAGGAATCCGAAGAGCTATAAGAGCTTTTTCGGAGATGTCTACGAGTTTTTCACAGATGTCCACAGCAAGCAATTGCGGGGCCGACACCGTTTTCCCTTTTATAGGCAGAGGAATGTTTTCTGCTCCTATGGCTCCCTCGTGTTTGTCACAAACACAGCGAACGGTGCTTTTGAAAGCAGAGAGTTCATATAAGGTGGCTGTGAAAAAAGTATCACCCAACTGTAACCGATTACTTTTTCATTATCTGTCAAAACAAATCCTGGCCTGAACTAGCTCCCGAAATGGTGTGTTTTGTTAAGTTTGTTAAGTGGTGCGTTTTGTTAAATTCAAAGTTCTCTAAGGTATTTTAAGATACTGCCTAGATAAGTGCTGCGGCTATAAATGAATACAGAATTTTAATAGTATATTCCACCCATGATCAAATCACCCAGAATCTAGGTGCTAGGTGGATTATTACGTGACAGGATCATGAGAGATGGTGACATCGTGGGGAGGCCGTCATCCAGCAGTGGACTGACCATCGCTGATGATGATGATATTAGACACACAATGTCCAGCAGTCTGGTTTTAAAGGCTGCTCACATTGTGCTCACGAGATAGAGAATATAAACAGTGGTCATTTTCTTCTGTATAGCGTAACACATTCAATCTGAGGCACAACTGGAGAAAACATACGAGGATGCTATAATCACAGGATACGAATTCGGTAAAGAATCTCAAATTCATCACCGTAATTTAGTGAGAGAGGAATTCATGGGACGCAATTACAGCAATGCAATAATAAAAAAATCGAACAAAAGCTGTTAAGTGCACGTGGAGAGATGCATGCGTGGAACTACACTGAATGACAGGAAGAGGAACACACGGATCAGGGAACAAACACAAGAGACATCATGTTTACTAAGGAACATGGTGTTGGGCAGGAGGAAAACAATGCCGAGAAATGACGGCCAATGGACAAAGCTGGAAGTGGAATGAAAGCCAAAGGACGGAATGTACCCACGGGGACGGCCACTGTGAAACAACGATACACTCACATGCAGGGTAAATATGGATCATGGCATCGCAGGAGGCCTTCATCCAGCAGTGGATAAACAATGGTTGATGGCTTTACCCTTTCTGGCGAGTATACAGCTGTCAAGATGTTCAAACACCGAATCGACACCTATTACAAGACATCAAGTCTGCATTACTACACATATGTATGGTCAAACGTGCAAACAAGGCATACATTATAAAACACAATTTTGTGCGGTTAATGCAGACATAATGCCTTGTAATATGTGTCGGTTTGGTATTTTTTTGCATCATCTTGATACTGGCAAAAAGGGTTCCATAGAACGGTTGATGATTAAATACTCGAAAATCGTATTAAGTCACAGCATGTAAACCGGTACAAGCGATGCACGCAACATTAATCAAGACCTGCCAAACGGGTAGGCCTCCGACTCCAAGAGCTCTTCTCGTGCTTTCCAAATGTGTCCCACTCGACTTGAATGTCACACTTTGTAGTGACCACGATTTGGTCAACCGAAGTGAATGGCGAGGAAGCAGCATTAGTTTGACCCAGCGTCTACTGCATAAATCACAGATATTTGAAATCATAGGGATAGTTTATAATTATCACTTGGATAATTATAAATGTCTTTGAACCTATCTACGTGACTTTACCGAAAGACCCAAGGATATGAATTCCTGCAGTCACGAAAGCTTTAAGTCAAGATTTAATGTCGGTATGCATAAATACATACATTATGCACTCACAGTTCGAAAATATCTACACAGAATGGAGTAAACAGGTATTCCTCGATTTACAAACGAGGGATGTGTTCTTTAAAAAAACGCTTAAAGTGAACTTTTATAAATCGGAATGGATTTCGAATGGATTTTCCCAGTAATTTAACACAAAAAATGTGAGATTTGTTTCGGACAGTCATTCCAACTCTACTCCTAACCTAAAAATATACCCCGACTCTATCGCTTTTCACGAAACAAAAATAAAGAGCATAAACATGAAAAGTTTTCAATAATAATTAATAAAAAAACTTCAAATAATTAACCTTTTCAGAGAACTCACCAACAGATCTGCTGCATGTTGGAATGAATGGCAAGGTGATGTGTAGGTGTCACTGTTGCATTGTGGGACACGGTGACGTTATCGCGGATGGATGACGACGCAGCCTCCCAGATGGTGCTTCTTGTTAGATTTTTTGCCGCTTGAAATTTCGATAACACGGAAATTAGATTTTGTTGATGGAAAAGTGCCCATAATTTGTGACTTGCATTCACGCGACATTTCGACAACGTTTGTAAATCGAGACATATCTGTACATCTCATTACATTTGGTACAGATATATTGTTTTACTGTTTTGCTGCTTGGCATCTATCATCGAGAGTTGTCAGCTATAGTTTGTGCTTTTAAATTACCCGTGTAAGACAACATGCACTCTACCATATCTACAGCGGGAAGCAACACATCACGACCAAGTTAATTGCTTTGTCAGCATGTGAATTGCGATGCCGTTTGGCAGAACTCCACAACACATTTTTACACCTGCCCTTCCAAGCGGATGGCTGGTTTGCTGGAAACTAGATACCAACACATACAAGAGCCCAGCAATTCCGACATTACGTCAGCCTTATGGCACACTGTTGCACACAACCCCAGGAGAGTGGAACACATTTAAATGGATAGGGGAGCCGTGATGCTGAGAAAGCCATGTGTTTAGGCAGCCGTACACAGCGAAATGAGCCAACGAGAAAAAGCCTTCACTGCAATTGCTATTGAACAATGAAAACATACATGTTGGTCTAAAATATCTATCCGGATGTTTATACACATTCGGGCCCGTTAATGATAACACGTACTTACAATCATTCTACAGCCCCTTCGTCGACCCACTGGTGAAGGCCTGCCCACGCCCTGTGGTTTGTGGGGGTTATTTGACCATACTTCACCACGCTGGCCAGTGGGGGTCGGTGAAGAAATAATTATACGAAAATTCCAACAACAAAAAATTGTGCCAAGAACGTCCATCTGTTACTTGGACAAGTGAAAGACCATACCAAGATTTACGGTACATCACATTAATTCTCTGACACCTTCTAAACCGCGTACATACTAAATCTTGACTTAAAGCTTTCGTGACTGCAGGATCTTTCGGTAAAGTCACGTAAATAGTTCTAGATTTGAAGCTTTCGTGACTGCAAGGATTCATATTCTTAGGTTTTTTTTTTCGGTAAAGTCACGTAGGTAAAAACATCAAAATTAATGAAAATAAAATAAAATAAAACAAAAAACTACGACGATTCGATCTCAACACAAGCGGTCGTCATCAGGAAAAGGGGGGTTATAGCTCCTAAAGACAACCGCTTATAAAGGTTTGAAATGGAAGTGTGAGCCCACTGCATTAAAACAATGATCAGCCACGGCAGAGGTATTGGTCCTACCGTGCTTCAGATCTGCCTCATGTTCACGAATATGGTCGGAGACATGTCGCTTAGTTTCCCCAATGTAACTACTGCCGCAGACACAGCTTAGTTTGTAGACGCCAGGGTATTGCATGTCAGGGATCACATCCTTCACAAATGGGATCAGATCACGATTTTTATGTGCTGTGTTATATTGAACCTGGATCTTGTGTTTGTTCCTTCTAAGAAGAAGGTACTTTGCAAACCCACTGGCTATTACAAAGATACAATTTCAACAGAGAAGATGGGTACAAACTGAGCAATCATTGGAAGGAGGTTATTAACCAGTTTAAGTCATAACTGGCTGTGATGTTCCCAGCCTACCACCTTCCGATGTTAGTTGTTATTTTCGGCTCTCTGATTTTCTACATTAACAGATTAAATGTCTCACTAACACAGCTACACACTCTAACACAGCTACCTCCCTAGCCATCCTCGAGGCTGCTGCTTCACGATCTACCATCAACATGCCAATCTCTCACATCAACATGCTAATCTCTCACATCAACATGCTCATCTCTCACATTAACACATGCTCATCTCTCACATCAACACGCTCATCTCTCACATCAACATGCTCATCTCTCACATCAACATGCTCATCTCTTACATTAACATGCTCATCTCTCACATCAACATGCTCATCTCTCACATCAACATGCTCATCTCTTACATTAACATGCTCATCTCTCACATCAACATGCTCATCTCTTACATTAACTCGCCGTGGAGGATGCTCGGCGATCTTGCATTGACATGCTCATTTTTGCCTGGCAGCCCTTTGATTGGTGGAAAGCCCACCACCGCCGCGGCTCGCTGCCCACCACTTGCATTGGCTGCTGACATGTGGGATATGCCCATTTCAAACCTTTATAAGCAGTTGTCTTTAGAAGCTAACCCCCCTTTTCCTGATGACGACCGCTTGTGTTGCGATCGAAACGTCGTAGTTTTTTGTTATTTTCTTTAAACCTATCTACGTGACTTTACCGAAAGACCCAAATAATACGCAAACATACTGCATGTAAGTTGGTTTAGTCTTGAATCAGAAATCCCACAACAATGACCTATCGGGCCGTAAATCACAAATCAAGGCTAATACATTCGCATATTTCCGTGCGTTCTTTGCGTGCAGCACATTGTATATACATCGTTAAATAGCACGAGATTGTGAATGAAGTTGGGATGGAATGTCGACCATTTTAGTGAAAACCATGTTCAACAACAAAGAGAAATGGGTGGGAATGCCCCTCTGTTACCATGCACAATTCTGCACGACTAAATTTATACCAGGGCCCCCCCATTTTGTGAAGCGTTGTTGACAAAAATGTGTTGAGTTTTGGGTTATCTGTTCATACAGCAAGCCCTGTTGGTGGGACGGCACGTGCCGAAGCGAAAACACAAGGGACAATGACCGGATGCAGTCTCTCTGATGTGGCACGTAACCTGCCACTGCATTTGTAAACATCGCAGGGGATGCACTGTACCGAATTGCAACCTACTTTTTTGGCAACGCTTATTTTTGTTTTGCCGGATGCCGCAGGTTCATCACCTAAGATAATTCGCACATTCATATCTGCAGTATTTCACCAAACCCTAGTGCTCAGCCATGCTTATGCACTGATACAGTGGATGTGAAAGAGGGTGATCACAACCAAACACCAAGTAGGTGCCTAATGCGACTAAATATAAACCCCATGGCTAATTCGAGCTCTGTCTCTTCCAGACAAGCTAAATCTAAACTGCACGATATAAGCCACATACAATGTTAAATTTATCCCATTTAACTGGGGCATGTTATACAGCAACACGGCCGTGACATAAAACAGCACACACCAAGTCAAACATTCTATTATAAAAACAACCCTGAACATAGTCCACTACAATCATCATCATCAGCCATGATCAATCCACAACTGGTGGATGAATGCCTCCCCAAGCCATTGCCAGTTCTCTCGATCCTGGGATTAGGTGCATCGGTCATACTTCACCACGATGGTCAATGCGGGCTGCTATGGGTGCCCCTATTAGGCAAAGTATTTAGCTCCCCAAGTCTACAAGTCTCTCTCTCTCAAGCTGTTGCACTGCATCAAGGCTGCGCTCAGGCAAAGAGGTAAAATGAGCCACTCACACGGACACCGCCACGCAGGTGAGCCGTGCACACTCCACCACCACCACCACACAGGTGAGACGACACACACTGACACCACCACCACCACACAGGTGAGACGTGCACACTCCACCACCACCACACAGGTGAGACGACACACACTGACACCACCACCACCACACAGGTGAGACGTGCACACTCCACCACCACCACCACCACCACCACACAGGTGAGACGACACACACTGACACCACCACCACCACCACCACACAGGTGAGACGTGCACACTCCACCACCACCACCACAGGTGAGACGTGCACACTGACACCACCACCACCACCACACAGGTGAGACGTGCACACTCCACCACCACCACCACACAGGTGAGACGTGCACACTCCACCACCACCACCACACAGGTGAGACGACACACACTGACACCACCACCACCACACAGGTGAGACGTGCACACACCACCACCACACAGGTGAGACGTGCACACACCACCACCACCACACAGGTGAAACGTGCACACACTGACACCGTTATACAGGTGAGACGACACACACTGACACCACCACTACCACCACCACAGGTGAGACGTGCACACACCACCACCACCACCACACAGGTGAGACGTGCACACTCCAACACCACCACACAGGTGAGACGTGCACACTCCACCACCACCACCACACAGGTGAGACGACACACACTGACACCACCACCACCACAGGTGAGACGTGCACACCGCACCACCACCACCACACAGGTGAGACGTGCACACACTGACACCACCACCACCACACAGGTGAGACGTGCACACTCCACCACCACCACCACTCAGGTGAGACGTGCACACTGCACCACCACCACCACTCAGGTGAGACGTGCACACTGCACCACCACCACACAGGTGAGACGTGCACACCGCACCACCACACAGGTGAGACGACACACACTGACACCACCACCACCACAGGTGAGACGACACACACTGACACCACCACCACCACCACACAGGTGAGACACACACTGACACCACCACCACCACCAGGCAGGTGAGCCACACACACTCACTCCACAGGCACCACTTGCACCTGCGCCAGGGCGGCCTCTCCGCGGATGCCGCGCCCGGCGTCTCCGCCCGCGGGGTGCGCGCCCGCCACGTGGCGCCACAGGCGCTCCCACGTCGCCTCGTCCAGCGGGAAGCCGCCGCGGTTCACGTAGAAGCTGCACGGGCCGCTCTCCCCGCCGCTCTCCCCCTGCTGCTGCTGCTGCTGCTGCCCGGGGTGGCGGTGGTGCCCATTGGAGGCGGTGGCGCCGCTCTCTCGCCGGCGGCCGCCGCCCGCGGAGCGCTCCGACCCGGCCGAGACGAGCCCCGAGGCCCCCGGGGAGACGGCCACGCTGGCCGCAGAGCGGGCCCGGCGGAGACCCCCGGCCTGGCCGGCCTCGGTGGCCGGGGGCATCGCTTAGCGCACGGCGGGGGGGCAGTGGGGTGGAGGTGGAGGGGAGAGGAGGTGGAGGAGGTGCGAGGAGGAGGAGGTGGAGGAGGTCACGAGAGCGGCAGCAAGGGCTACAAGGCGGCGGGCATCGACCCAGGTGGGCGAGGGAGACGTCTCCAGCCCATGGCCACCCCGGGGACGCTGATGCTGCTGCTGCTGTTGTTGCTGATGCTGCCTGTCGCCTCTCGATTGCTGCTTCTGCTGCTGCCGCTGCTGCTGCTTCTTCCTTTGTTCGTCTGCCGCTGCTGCCGCGGCTCCCGCGGCGAGGGCTGAACCCGCCGGAGGCAGCAGCCCGAGGCGGAGGAGGAGGCAGCAGCAGCAGACGCGGCGATGTCGCTGCTGCTGCAGCCGCACAGCGGGGACTGCCCGCGAGAGCCGGCGGACCGTGACACGGTCTGGCAGGCCCAGCTCGGTGTGTTACCACGTAGACGCGCCACAACGTAGACGCGTTATTATAATAATGATGATGATGAGTAGTATTATTATTATTAATAATAATGATGAGTAGTAGTAATATTGTCGCCGGTTCGTCGATTCTCGTGATCTCTCCTGCCCGGCTGTGCCCGGCAGCGTTCTCTGCGAGGTCTCGCTGCTGTCACCGCCGCTCAACGGTCCTCCATGCACCCTGTGAGATGTTCACATGGCGCACGCACGGTGCAAGACAGCAACAACAACGTTGTGTATAACAAGACAACAACCACAATGTTGTGTATAACAAGACAACAACAACAATGTTGTTGTGTATAACAACAACCGCGTTGCGAGTGGGTGAACCACCCAGCAGCAGGCACCGTTATATGGGATGCGCATGCGCCCTTGCAGCCAATCGGCAGCGAAGCCACGCCCCCCATGCTCTAGCCACGCCCCCATACTCTAGCCACGCCCCCCCCCATGATCTAGCCACGCCCCCCATGCTCTAGCCACGCCCCCCCATGTTCTAGCCACGCCCCCATGCTCTAGCCACGCCCCCATGCTCTAGCCACGCCCCTCCATGCTCTAGCCACGCCCCCATGCTATAGCCACGCCCCCCATGCTCTAGCCACGCCCCTCCATGCTCTAGCCACGCCCCCATGCGCTAGCCACGCCCCCATGCTCTAGCCACGCCCCTCCATGCTCTAGCCACGCCCATCCATGCTCTAGCCACGCCCGCATGCTCTAGCCACGCCCCCATGCTCTAGCCACGCCCCCCATGCTCTAGCCACGCCCCTCCATGCTCTAGCCACGCCCCCATGCTCTAGCCACGCCCCCCATGCTCTAGCCACGCCAAATAGCGGTCCCCTGGGCAGACTATAGGCGACCTGCTCTAGAAAATAAACACAGCAGCCAGCGAGCCCCTCAGTCGCCTCGGCCCTGCCCTGGAGCCTGAGTGCTGGCCGCGAGGGAGAGAGAGGGGGCACGTTGGATGTGCAACTGCTCGTTCACTTTAAATGCAACCCCCCCCCCCCCGGCAAGCTTTGGCAATCCCACGTGAGCAGCAGTGCTGGGAGACCGGCGAAAGTGACAGAGGCGATGGATCGAACTGTGAGTCAGTGGTGAGTTGTGAGTCAGCGGTGAGTCAGTGGTGAGTTGTGAGTCAGTGGTGAGTTGTGAGTCAGTGGTGAGTCAGTGGTGAGTCAGTGGTGAGTTGTGAGTCAGTGGTGAGCTGTGAGTCAGTGGTGAGTTGTGAATCAGTGGTGAGGCAGTGGTGAGTCAGTGGTGAGTTGTGAGTCAGTGGTGAGTCAGTGGTGAGTTGTGAGTCAGTGGTCAGTAGTGAGTTGTGAATCAGTGGTGAGTCAGTGGTGAGTCAGTGGTGAGTTGTGAGTCAGTGGTGAGCTGTGAGTCAGTGGTGAGTCAGTGGTGAGTCAGTGGTGAGTTGTGAGTCAGTGGTGAGCTGTGAGTCAGTGGTGAGTTGTGAGTCAGTGGTCAGTAGTGAGTTGTGAATCAGTTGTGAGTCAGTGGTGAGCTGTGAGTCAGTGGTGAGTCAGTGGTGAGTCAGTGGTGAGTTGTGAGTCAGTGGTGAGCTGTGAGTCAGTGGTGAGTCAGTGGTGAGTCAGTGGTGAGTCAGCGGTGAGCTGCACACAAGCAGATACGGAGTTTGTTGCCGTGCATTGACCTGGGATGACACCGGAGTTCGGCAGCATCTGGATCAACTCAACTGCCCTATTTAGGGAAGCAAAGCTGACTTTAATCTGGTTTATCCCGAACAGCCCTGGTCAGCTCACCCCAGCTCGAAGGTGTCCCATTTTGTGGTCGAAAACACAATACGCATTGAGAAGCCTCATGTTTTAATGTTGCGAATTGGAACATCTGTACACCTCTTGAGAATCACTTAAATCAGAACTGACCGTCTCGGCAGGCGGACCGCTACGGTTGCTTGCGAGCTCAGAAGCTACCACACCGACATCGCCGCACTGATTCAGACGTGTTTTTAGCGAAAAGTTCAAATGACCCAGGGAAGTGCGAAGGTCAACTTTCTTTTGGAAAGGTCACGTGCAAGACGAGTCGCGCAAAGCAAGGATTGGTCCTGCCACCCAAAATATTCCGAAGTTTCGACTCGCCGTGACTTTGTGAGGAGCACATTACGTGGGTCAACATCATCATCTCAAGGGGGAGTCACGGCTTCGGTGCCTTTCGTACCAACAATGACCGACCCTGTTGAAGTCGAGGAGCAATTCTACTCCAGGCTGCATGATGTGATCCAGTTGAAGCCAAAGTAGTCATTGAGGACAATTTTTCAATACCCGGCCGTGAAGATTTTACGCGGCGTGGCTTACTCGGCGAGCCGCTGTCATCAGCGATGGCTCGCCGTTACTGACATCCCCTGCTGAGTAGCAACTAGAAACCATTTACACAGTTACTAAAACGTGTTCATACTCCAGCCGTCAGAATGAACCCACACATACCAACCAGTGAGTAACAATGCCACAAGCCTATCAAACACGTGGGTCTGAACCCCCTTAGAACTCACTGGCCGGCTGGGAGGTGTCCAAGCGCACATCTTGAATCTTGTAACAATTAAAATTATCAATATCTGGTGTGTGATTAATGAACAGAGTAATTCGTATAAACATCGAAGAGAAGCAACGTATAATTGTGTTAAAGGCATAAATGAGCAATGTTAATAATATGTATAATTAAGTATGAGTACGATACAGCGATACGAAAGCCAACGGGACAGCTGTTCCAGTAGGGGGCTCCCACAGCACATGTTGTAAGACATCGAGGGTGGGCCAACTACACTCGAGGTGCCCTTTAATAACGTCTGGTTTAGAAAAAAAACAGTAGTGTTAGTTTAGCGTGGTCGACTGCTGGTGAGCGCCAAGATATTGAGTATTTTGAAATGAGTCCACAGTTTGTTGGCTTCAGCAAAGCCCATCAATGAAATCTGCTCGTGTGGATCGTTACATTACAACACCGTGAAAGGAGGATCTCATCCAGCGGTCGATTGATCGTAGCTGATGGTGATGATATAGTCATTAATCGTATAAAGATAAAAGAGATACCAAGCGCAATATTAGCTTAAATGAACCGCACGCTCTTATCTAAAGACTGCATTGGCTCAGAAGATGAGCGCTGCTGCTACGCCACAATGGAGGCGTAGACGACGTCGTGATCCTGGCTGGTTGGAGCTTCTCTGCGCGCGTCTGCGCCCACGATCACCGCGGCATATGTCACTTCGCCATCGTCCACCTGCAAGACGGAGAAACACGTTCGGAATCAGTACAAACAAATCGACTCCATCCACACCACTGCACTGTGCTGGGATTGCCACCAGTGGCTCAGGGCGATTGACAACAGCTGCGGACTAACTGAAAGCTCATTTCAGCAGGAAATAACTTTTTATTTTTTAGCATCCACATTTTTACCTTTCCATCTATAAAAAGTATCTAAATTAGGGCTCACCTTTGTAAGCTTGTTTGCCCAGCAAGACTATGTGTACGTGCATCCTGCATTGTTCTCGCAATAGGGGGCGATGTTGCTGCCGTGTCTGTAATTTTCAGGTAATTTTTCATCATTGGGATGGCTGTTGAACTTCTTTTTCACCGTACGTAGCCAACCATGTTTGGCCAATACCAGTTACATTGTTTTTGCTTTTTACTTTGGGAGGAAACCATGCAGAACAGGGATTACATACAAATTCCTCGCAAAGGTGCACGAGTTGGGTATTGAACCTAAAGAGTGCTTACTGTGAGGCACGAGTGTTACCACATCGCCCTGCCTCCCCGCTGATGTCTGGCATGTGTGCGTAGACGTCAAATCACTCAGATGTATAAATGAATCATGTCACATCTGTGGAGACAATTTCACAGTATACCATAGAATAAATTAATTGCAATGTGGCCCACAGCTTAAACACCCTCCTTGTATGGCAACATCAATGGAAGAGCTAGGGCAATGGTTCCTAACCTCTTTTGGTTCACCGTCAAAACATATGTTCATGGGCCAGCGAATGTGGTGCTTTGTGGAGAAGTAAAACAACGCAATAATTCCGCAGACCACAGCTACCATGCACTTGCAAACCACCGGCGGTCTGCATGCGACAGACGGGAAACCACAGGCGCTGAGCAGCGCTTCGCAACTGGCGTGCCGCGGCGCACAGTGGTCTGCCGCGGCAAGGCCACGTGGCATTCCACAAGCGAGGCCAGACGAACTCCCCTCCGTGCCGTTCAGTGGCCCATCCAGTCCCCCCACCCCCATCTAATTCCTCTCTGCAGTAACGGCGCACGGCCGCCAGCACCCCCCCCCCCCCCCCCTGCTGCATTGCCACACACACGCCCGGACATCGCGAGAACCGATCAAGCTCAAATGTGCGCCGTGGGATAATAAACAAGGTTGCGAAATCAGTGGCCTAGAGGATTTTGAGAAATAAAACGACTACGTGATGAGTCAAGTCTCTTTGTTTTGGTACAAACTCTTAATGAGTTTAACACGTTGCAGGCTCTCGCGACCAATATCATCCATAATACAGGTTTTTTGTTTGTTTAGATCGCGTAAATAGAATTACTGGCGAAACGTCGTGCTCAGATTGTAAATGTCGTGGCTTGGCTCTCCAACACACTGTACTAGTATATTACACTATACACTACACTATACACTAGTGCTGTACTAGTATATTACACTATACACTACACTATACACTAGTGCTGTACTAGTATATTACACTATACACTACACTATACACTAGTGCTGTACTAGTATATTACACTATACACTACACTATACACTAGTGCTGTACTAGTGACGAATTGGCACGTTCTGTTTACATGACAACCCTTACTAGTTGGCTGTGTCGGGTGGTGGCGGGTTTAACAACACATTTATATATTTACGCCAACTAACCTCAAAAACCTCTATGATGGATGTTATTGGTCGCGAAAGCCTGCTACGTGTTAAACTGAGGGCAACGTGGTTATGCTGAAGCTGCGCAATCAGTTGAGAACCGTGGTCATGAGAACACCCAGTTTGTGGCATTTTTGACATAAACTTTTTTGTTTAATGCTACAACATTGAGCTACAGGGAATGGTATAATTGAAGTCACAGCCATACGCATATTTCAGCAATTGCGCAACTTCCTCGCCCTCGCAAATAAACGAAGTGGGATTCTGAGCTTTATTAAAGGCACATGTCGTTTGGATAATTATGCCATCATACATATTTAAATTGCAGTCGCTTAACTTTTCAGAATTATTTTCATAGTAATAAAGGAGGAGAATGTGATACATTTGGCATTTATCGTAGCTTTAGAGGTACTACTGCATTCGACGCTTCTGCATCGCGACCTTCCCCATCGCGGTTTCGATATACCGCGGGGTCAGCATAAGACATTAAATGGGAATTTTTTGTGAGTTTGTGAAAGCCGCAGACGACACGGGAAGACCAGCAGACGACACACAAAGGTTAGTAACTCATAAATGCATAAAATATATGTACAGTACTGTATAACATTAATGTATTTGATATTTTAATACCATGTATATACACTTTTTTAAAGTAAAAATGTGTAAATCGGGAAGTAATAAAATAATAAAAATAAAATAATTCTCACGACGTTTCGGCCATCCTCAGGTGAAGACCAGATCTGTCGGGGAGACAGTCTCCCCGACAGACCTGGTCTTCACCTGAGGACGGCTGCTTGCGTTGTGGCCGAAACGTCGTGAGAATTATTTTATTTGTTTTATTTTTATTACTTTATTGCTTCCCTTCTACGTGACTTTACCGAAAGAACCAAGAAGATGAATCCCTGCAGTCACGAAAGCTTTAAATCGAAATGTGTAAATAGTTTGCGAAAGGAACTGCGGTTCTCCGCGCTGGCTTGGAGGACGCCAGCGTGTTGACAGGAGCCTGTCACGTGATATCTCGCAGTGATGTCTCGCAGTGATCTTTGTATCTCGCGTTTCTCGTTTCTTTTTGTGCCGTTTTAGTGCCCTAAACTACAAAAAAATTACGCGGTTTCTCTATATCGCGGGGGGCCTGCGCCCCCCAAACCCCCGCGATGTGAGGGTCGACTGTACTTACTTTCAAATGTGTTTTCATATTATTTTTCAATGCTTTTTGGGGGATGTGGCTCCAGTATGTCAACACTTGACAATATTGTTTCATTTCATTTACTTACATTTGGACTTGAGCTCTCACATTGCCCTGCACCAGACTTGTCTGGAAATTAAACCACAATGTTATTTATTGTGCACAATGTAACAGTTAAACATATACATGTATATTACAGTCCTGTATGTGTCTTCATCTAATGTAACTTAACGATTTTAGACTCAACGTTTTCATTCTAAATGCCTCTAGAGTTGTTTCATGGAAGCTGAAGTCATTATCTATTATTGGTTTTTCATGATGACATTTCTACTTGATCATATTCACAGCAATTATTGCCTTTCTCAGTGTCCCATGTTTCTGAACCGTATGTCGTAGCAGGTAGGTAATTTCGGCAATGTTTGTAAACATTATGTTTGAGGTCCATTGATATATTGCTTTTCAGGTTCAATTTTCAATCAATGCATTTCACTTGCTAAGGCGTACAGATGAAAACCATGGTCACTGTCAAAGAATAGGAAAACAGCTAGAGTTGATGCTCATGATAACAATTAAACTGAATATCAATATCACAGTGGGCTCTACAGTACAGTACTTATTATGCAGGGTGGCTGAAGACTGCAGAAACGGCCATGGTATAAATGCACCCATTTGGAGCAAGGCCAGTTGTGCTTATTTTTAAAGTGCTGGGTTTGTATCAAAATTTTACCATTGACTTCCACCTACCAGAACAAGCACGTGTGTTGCTTAAATCAGAACTCTGATGACTAAAACTAAAGCAGAAGTACATCTCACATATATCACAATCATTCGATGAATCATAAAGGTTACACTAACCAGCACTCGTGTTTTCGTATATGTGTTCTTTCGTCAGCTCCTGATTCACTTCCCGGTTGCTCTTCCTGAAATGTATGAATCGTGTAAATCCATCTTGTTCTCTGTAAATAACTCGTTCAACATATACATTCTAATTGCGGTGCACGATGAATAGAGCCTCGATGTCGCTGCACTTATCTCCCCCCATAAGTGGAAGATTAAAAGCAGCCCCCCCCCCACCCTCTGTGCACAGACGAATGACCACCTCGCCGATGAATGTGCCTCCCGCTCATTCGGAGGAGGGAGAAGCCATCCGCAGCCTCACGCCAGAGGGCCCGGACTGGCTAGAGAACTGTGACGTGAACCTTTGACAACTTGCTGCTGCTGCTGCTGCTCCTCTACAATAAGTCTGCTATACTGCAGCAACCCACACCACAGATAAAGAGAACAGTTGAGCGGTTCCATTCACTGTCATTCCACGTGATATAGCAGAGACAGCCTGATGCATTCTCAAGGTTTTATTTTGAACATTGTCATAAAATGTAGCCAAATATAGCCAGCGCGGCATCCACCGCCTAGGATGTACACACACACAGTGTATTTTAATCACTGCCATTTGAATCGCTGTAATCAAACGTATTCGACAGTAAAATTGCATTGATAGTAAAAGTTGACAAATTGATATACGGTTTGATAAAGATGAAGCACTGCATGAATCCATTACAAAACCTACTATCCCTTTAAATCCATAGTATTGTAGAACGTTACATATCTGGCTCGGTGGGGACTGAGGTAGAGGTGGATATGTGGATGGGTCAGATATGTGGTACTCGATAGGTAATGACGGTTACATCATGCAATGTTACTGCTTTGGCTGTGAGTGGTTCATTGACAGGGGCGGATATCCGACATTTTGTACTTTGTAGTTTTTCTTCTCCAAACTTGTGCAATGCAGTCTTGTCAAGTTCAAATTGATTTTCTTTAGGGGCCGATGAGCACGTTTCGCTAGGTACGGTGTGAAGGAAGTTTAACATACAGTACATGCATGAAGAAGTCAAGAGACCTGGGTCACCAAACTCAAGAATGCAAAACAAATCCATTAAGAAAGCAAAATAAATAAAATTCAAAACAAATTAAGTGAATAGAAATTAGAACAAAAAAATACCAGTTTGAAATGAGAAATCGAAAATATTGCACAAACACGTCTGAAGGTTAAATAATACATTCCCTAAAGTGCACATCAACTCAGGCCTATTATATTTAGACAGATACTATTACAATTAATAACCAAGTTGCTGAAACATTAACTTTAGATAAAGGGTCATTATTGTCATAGTAATCCAAGGGCGGTACAAACCTTTGTATTCGCCAGCGCCAGAACGTGATGAGTGCGGAGAGTGCGCACAGAAAGACGATCGCTGCGCTTGCTCCGATGAAAATTGCGCTCGCATTTGTCGGAGCTGGCTCCACGTTGTGAGATGTGCTGTCTTCCCCATGCTGGTTGATCGCTCGGCAGGTGTAGCCTCCGGGGGGCAGCTCCCCACAAATTCTCAGCGTGCTGCTGTAACGATTCGGTCCAGAACCTGCATCATCCGCCACCTCGGCGTTTAATGGGCGTGCAACTTCAGGCGGCACGTTCCACGTAATGTTCGGTTTTGGTTTTCCCTCCACGGTGCACCAGAAGATGGACGAGTTTACAGGATCGGTGACGTCCACTTTTGTCAAATTCCAAACTTGAGGGATGGCTGAATCAGAAAATAAATCAACTTAAAAGCATGCATATTGTGAACTAGCCTTTTGCCCGTAATTCTGAAACTTGAAAGCGAATAGCAGACTGCGACGTGATATATTTATTGCATCCATTCGTGTGCAATTCGTAAGGGCGCGGTGACACAGCTATTTCATGTGAAGGTTATAATCCCTTGTTCATCATGACGTCCTTTTTACTTCTACGTCTCAACAGCGTTACGGAGATCGCGTAACGTGAGGGTTCTGCATGTGTATTGAGGGTTGTGAGTTGACGCCGAGGAGGGGGGGGAGGCGCTTCGCCCCCCCCCCCTCCACGTGGAGTGACGTCACCCGCTAATTAGTATTAATGAGGGGCGGGTCCATGTGGAGGACGTAACCTGTTCATAATTATTAATGAGGGGGGCTGCTCAACGTGGAGTGACGTCACGCGCGTTACACACTGACAATCTTGGGTAAATATAGTAGTACATTTCTGATAATTAAGCATGTAATGAAAATTTTACTTCAATTCATACAATCACAAAAGCATAAAACCGTGCAAATACGAACTTATTTAATAGGTACGCAAATGTTAGCTTTTGGCGAATGCAGCAAATGAGATGTCACAGTCCAGACAGTAATAAGAAGAGAAAAGAAGTCTATGCTGCCATCGAATCGTGACCCACAATCATGCCAAGCAAAATGCATTACAACCCTAAAACACATCGGATCTACTGCATATACACACATATACATATACACACATATACAAAGATAAAAGATCCCCCGTACAGCCTTAACAGACTGTAGGGGCAAGTGCTGTTAGCGAGCACCTATGAAGGCCGGAACGGTACACGAGAGGGGTGGGTGGCCAGCACCACGCCCGACCGCCTTTGTCTCCCCAGTGGCGATGTTTACACACCACACCAGGTACTCATTTCAGGCTGAGTCGACCTAGGGGAGGCCCAGGACCGGTTCAGATAATCGTCACTGGTGTTGGCCGTGAGCGGGAATCGAACCCGGGTCGCTTGGTTCATAGCGCAGCGCGCTAACCGCTACACTATCGCTCCCCAAATACATGCATATACACACATATACAGACATACATACACACACCCGACTGCATCACGCTATAACTATCCACTTTCAACATTGACAACAAAAGATAATTTTTTTAGACTCAACTCACAGTGCACTTCAAGATGGATCGCCTGATGTGTTTCGTACCCATCTTCAATTTCAAACCGACAGTAATAATTGTCGCTATCTGAGTATTTCAGGTCCCGGATTTGGATGGAAGCGGTGCTGCTGTTTTCAGGGTCTCCAACAAGTGAGACGCGGCCGCTGAAGTCGGCGCGCGTCGTATTTGTAGTTCTGTTAAAGATGTAATATGAGGCATTTTCTCTCAAACACATTTGTTTGCTTCCAGATCACTTGAATCTTTTTATCAAAGTTCCTTTTGTTTGGCGGGTAGGTGAAGTTACACAACAGAGTGGCCTCCTTAGTCTTGAGTCCAGTGACTGACTTCGGAACGCAAATGGACCAACTATCAATTTTTTGACAGTCGAACTCAGAGGCAGCCAGACCTTCAAAGATTAATAAAAAAAAAGTATTATATATCTTAATCATAAAAATACATTTTAAACAGTATGTAATATATATTATGCAGCTCTACAGTATAATAATTAAAACTACAGTAGCAATGTAATTGATGTACAGTACTATGGTTACTATACTGACGTGGCAAGTAGCAATTAAAATGTATTATGCTCATAACAAGTGCTTAAAATCGTATGTATTAGAATTGATGGTGTGATTTATGCAATTATAAGTATTTACTAATTGTATGACTGTATCTATTACAGCAAAAGGCGCGAACAAAACTGTAGAAGCGAGACAAAAAACGAGAAACAATACGAAACGAGGCCGTCAATAAAACTGCGAACCCGAATTACATCTGGGGCCACATCTAGGGCCTGAGCACGTGAAATCATCCGCTTGGAATCCGCCAAGCAGTGATTCACGCAGGCTCCAAGAAAATCGTGGTGCAGGTTTTTTTTCTAAACACAATCGGGGTCCTCGTCACCCACTCCGAATGGGTCGAGTGGCATTCTCTTTTCATTCGCAGCCTAACAATGTGGAATCTGGCCTTCCGAAGCTCGCGCAGCATTGAGTCTTCTTGGCCACAGTTATGCCCTCACTCATCTATGCATGCGAAATGTGGACTCCTCTAATTGAACATCTGCACCGGTTAGAACCATTCAGACTGGCCTGCCAAGGATCCATCGTGGGTTTATCCAGGCTGTATCATGGGTTTAACTAGGCTGGATTGTGTGAGGACCTCACAAATCCTTGAAATAATCTGGATGTTGTCCCATCGGTGAGCTTCTCCGGCAGGTAAGGCTGCGTTGGCTGCGGCATGCAGCCCGCATTCCCAGCCACTGCATGTTCACGAGCTTTTGTTTGGCTGGATAGAGGCACTAAACGGGCACGATACGGGCGAGAGAAGAGATGAGCTGATTTGGTACAGGAGGATATGGAGTTGAGTGGACTTGTTGATGACTGACACGAGCGGTGTTAAGGCCGGCCTTTAGGCAGGAGGAGGCTCACAAAGGACGCTACTAGGCAGTTAGAGGTCGTCGCCTTAGAGGTACTCCAGGAAGAGTGGAGGGCAGAGGAGCGACGCTTATAATAACCGAGCGCCGGGCACAGGCAGTGCATCTGCCAGTCATCTCAGTCAACCTATGGCACCTGGGTCTGTCCCGTCACCTCCAGCCAGCAAGCCTTCGATCATTAACGTGCTCTAAAAGTGCATCTAGCCTGGCACAAGCACCGTGGTTACGCCATTCGCCACTGCGTGGCTGCGCCTCTGTACGTGTTATTCAATGTACAGAGGGAAGGTGTTTGTGTTGGATCTTACACATGTTACATTTGTTTTTGTTGAGAGAAAATGTGACCTAATGTTAGCAGTGGCCAGGTATCGAACTTACAGTAGGTCCCCTGCTCCATAGTGTAGTGCGCTAATTACAGCACCACCACTTTACCCCATGGATACAACAATCAATACATTCACTCTGCTATGAGCCTCGCTGAAGGTTTATTTGAAACAGATATCGTTACAGTAAAAGAGTACATTGACATATTGCCGTGTATACATTTTGTGTCGTTTAATTTTATATAAACTGATGCTTTAATAAGAGTAATATTTCTTATATTCTGCAATTTGTTTATGCATGCTCCTAGTATATACAATCAGAATAGAAGATGCATCAAATATAACGCAATACAAATTACAATTTAGTCAACGAGCAAATTTGGTTGACGGATGAACATTTTCCCAACAGCAACCAATGTTTGCCCAACTTTGCATGTTTACAGGGAACGTAGTATTAAAACAAGACACAAGTATTAAAAAGTAAATATGTTTCCACTTACCGAAAAGGGTCAGCATAAAAGTGATTGTGAACAAAAGTTGAATAATAATCATTTTTTCAATAGGAAAGAGTCTCAAAGCTTGCTTCTCATATATAGCCAAACACCGTCTCGAACCCAACGGTGAATAGTATCGTTGCATAATGTGGAACTACCAAGGGGCTCTGTTCATTTATACTCGATACATTCAGGAACTCGTTAAACATCCGGGGATTTACTTCCTGTTTATAAAACTACTATAACACTTCTTTATATGACCAGGTAAGGCTCACTGAGCTACAGTATACAGCTCTTTAGATGATAGCTCAACGCAGTGGCTTATTACGTGGATTTTTACAGCACACAAATACTCAACGCATGTTGCTAATTGTGGAGGGAAAACCGGAGGACGTGGACACCATGCAGACTCCAAATATACAGCAGGCGTCAGGCTTGGGATTGTACCCACGACCTCTTGCATACCAGGCGAGAGAGTTAACATCTCACCACCATGGCATAAATGAGCTCGTATAATAACACCTTTCACGAATTCCTTCACGAAATACACATTTAATAACGTTTTAAACCCTTTTATCTGGCATAAAACTGACACCTTTTTACAAGGGATCATGTTTGCATTAACCACAATACCTGCAGTCGAAATGCTGTTTTTTGTTTGCATTTTGACTGCAGGTATTGTGGTTAATGCAAATACGATCCCTTGTAAAAAGGTGTCAGTTTTGTGCCAGATAAAAGGGTAAAAACCCTATTATTATATTTTGCTACTGGCAAAGGAGGTCTCAAGATAATGAAATACAAATTTTATTAAACCACTAACGGTTGAAGTTTTTGAAAAAATAATGAATGAAGATTAAGTTTGTTTTAAAACTAAAAAGATTTGTTTTTATCAACAACGCAAACAACGTAAGGGGCCATCCATTGAGTAGGCACGCAAAAATCTGTCAAAACTTGACCCCTCCCTGTAGGCACGCGGAATTTTTACACCCCCCCCCCCCACCTGCGTAGGTTCGCCTGACGCACCCCCCCCCCCCCCCCCCACGAATCGTATAGAACGGCCGATATTTAATCGACGCAGAAACGATCAAGGATTAATAATATTAACGTGTTTAAGCAAACAGATTGTCCACTGCCGGACCATCTAACTAATTTGAAGGCCAATGTCGACAATTTATTATCGAGGCTTCACCCTCGCCCCCGTTTCCTATGCGTACATTGTCAGTAGACCCCCCATACGCAAGCGAACGCATTTGGGTTAACCCGCCCTCCCTCCTCCATGCGTACGTACTAAATGGATGGCCCCTAATATATATTTAACGTCATTAGATGAGGTTTAAAATGTCTGGGAAATGTATCTACTCTCCCACCCTGGCCAGAGATCGTGGAAGAGGTGGGGGTGACTGCGGTGCCCCCATGATGCTACTCGTACAACATCGCAATATGAAATACGGTTACTTTTGTTTGTGGGGATTTGGTTTGAGCCTCCATTTGTGGAAATATTTTCCCATGGTGTTTAGATCTTGGTTCAGAGTGGATTCGATGTCGTTGAAAGTGTCTGATTGCGTTGCTAGGGAAAAGTCATCCACATAAAGACATTTTTGCAACCTGCGTGCATCTCGTATAGACAATGAAGAGCATTTGCGCCAATTCTGAACCTTTTGGCAATTCATTGTTGAAGAATCGGGGTGAGCTGGCTTGGTCACCCACATAAACACCCACATACCAGGCCTATTGTTTCCAGGCGAAGAATGGTCCTTGCGAGCTTCAACATCAAGCCCTACATCCAGACTGTGGTGTAGGCCCATCACAAGTCCACGAAGGCTGTGCCGGTCTTGGATTTCTTCTGGATTATGACCTGAATGTGCATTGCAAGAAGCCAAAACTTGGTCACAGCAACTGCGTCCAGGATGGTGCGTCCCAGGAGTGTATAGGTCATGCACAGGAGTGATATCGCCCTATAGCCTTGCCAGATCGTCGGTTGGCTTTACCGGTTTGGGTATTGCAATGGCCATCGCGTCCCGCCATGCTTTTTGGATGCATCCGGTTTTCATGGTTTTGGTATACAGGTTTGCCAGCCATTGGAGTCCCCTAGGGCCGTAGGCGAGTTAGCTGGGAATTCCTCCCTTGAGAGCAGCGGGTGAAGAAGTCATTACCTCTTCCAGTGATGAGCTGTAACGGGGACTAAGTGTTTATACACAAGTGTTGCCTCTACCTCCACGTCTCCATCGTCAGAAGAACCCACTACACACTGGTCTACAGCCAAAATGCTTCCGAAATAAATGTAGTTCAACTTGACTAATTCCGGGTCACTAATAATTAAAATGATGCTTAAAATTGTTGATTGGCTCTAGTTTTCAAGGTATGGTACTGGATCAGTATGTACGACCCTTGACTAGGGAATGGCAGAGAATAAGTGAGTTATAAAGGGAAGGGATCTCAATTTAATCCAGAAATTACTAAAATACATCTTTGACTGGATCTATTACTAAATCCACGACTGGGTTTGGACAGTACTTGCTTTTTTAGCAAAACAATGAATGATGCTATCTGAACCTAGTATTGCATCATACATGATATGAATTTTATCATGTTATTCCTAGAAGACATGGATTATGCAATCATAACTAGGCTTACATCCCTCTGATGAACAAAGTGCCCTATATCAGCTCTAGAAATCTTACAGTGTTGTGCTCTCTTATTTGTCAGTGTTTGATTTTGAAAAGGGACACATTTCTGTTTAGCCAAAGTCAGCAGAGATGCCTCGTACTCGTGTGAACAAAGCAGATAACTTCTGCTATGTTTGTGGTGAAGTGACTTTTGCATCACAAAAGTGCAGTATAACCACGATGGTTAAGAAAGCCTATCACCTTTATTTTGGTTGCAAAATTGGAAATCAGGACTAAATGTGGGTCCCACACAAATGCTGCAACACTTGTGCAACAAATCTTCACCAGTGGTTGAACAGGAAAAGGAAATCTCTGCCTTTTTCAGTATCAATGATTTGGAGAGAGCCAACAGATCATATCAGCAATTGTTACTTCTGCATGGCGCCTCCAGTTGGGAAAGGTTTGTCAAAGAAGAAGTGGACTGTGCATTATCCAAACATTCCATCAGCTGTACGCCCAGTAGCCCACGGAGAAGGACTGTCGGTTCCAGATGCACCAGAACCATTCTCACTTGAGTCAGACGAGTAAGAGGATGAAACCTCTAGTCCTGAACCATCAAGGTCACATGACCAAGATGTTCTCCCATCCTCCTCCTCTGAACCACACCTCATAACACAAGGTGAACTGAAAAACCTTGTCAGGGATTTGGAACTACCCAAGAGTAAGGCAGAGCTGTTGGACTCCAGACTGCAGCAGTGGAATCTCCTGGCAGGTGATGTTAGGGTTTCCATGTTCCGTGACTGTCAAACGCATCTTGTGCCATTCTTCTTCATGGAAGGTGATCTTGTAGCCTGCAACAACATCGATAGCGTGATGGCAGCCCTCAACATCGTTCATGATCGAGATGAGTGGAGACTGTTCATTGATTCATCGAAGATGAGTCTTAAAGCTGTTTTGCTGCACACTGCCAATGTTTTGACATACATTCTAGTTGGTTATGCAGTCCATATGAAGAAAACATATGACAACAGGAAATAACTTTTGAGGTGCATAAACTATGACCAACATCAGTGGCAGCTTTGTGGCGATTTGAAGGTTGTTGCTCTCTTGCTTGGTCTGCAGTCTGGATACACAAAGTACTGCTGCTGTTTTCTCTGCGAATGGGATAGTCGTGCGAGAGATTCCCACTACATCAAGATAGATTGACCGCTCCGGTATTCATTTGGAACCTGGGAGGAAAAGTGTTCAGCATCCACCACTTGTTGAATCAAGGCAGATGTTGTTACCACCCTTACACATCAAGCTAGGTCTGATGAAGAACTTTGTCAAATCCATGGACAAAACACAAGCATCTTCTTGGTTCTTTCGGTAAAGTCACGTAGAAGGGAAGTAATAAAACAATACGTGACTTTATCGAAAGAACCAAGAAGATGAATCCCTGCAGTCACGAAAGCTTTAAATCGAAAAATAAAACACAAGCAACTTTCAAGTACTTCCGTGGAAAATGTCCAAGGTTAAGTGAAGCTAAGATAAAGGAAGGCGTCTTTGTTGGTCCTCAGATTCGTGAACTTCTTCGAGATGATGCATTTGACAGTGCAATGCGTGGCAAGGAAAATACGGCATGGAAGGCCTTCCAGTTAGTGGCAACATTTTCTCGGAAACAACAAAGCAGACAGCTACAGGGAGTTGGTGGAAAACCTCCTCAAGGCATACAAAAGCCTTGGTTGCTACATGCCACTAAAGATACATTTTTTTCACTCTCATCGAGATTGTCTCTCACCGAACTGCGGAGCAGCGAGCGACGAGCGTGGCGAGCGATGTCACCAGGAGATTGCGACGATGGAGAAACGCTCTCAGGGCAAATGAAGCCCATCAATGCTTGCAGACTATGGCTGGACAGCGACAAGAGATGCTCCATTTAATGAATACAAGAGACAAGCCAAGAAGCGCCGAGTAGACTCTGAATAAGGACTAAACTATGTACTTATATAGACATAATCGTTTTTGCCTTTTGTTTCATAATACATTTTATTTAACAAACCCTTTTGCTGATTTGTAAGTGTTACATGAAGAGGACAGGTGACATGTTATCATGTCAAGCAACCGTAAACACGTTAAAAAAAATTTAGGTTAACAATTTATCAGTACCCCTAGTCGCGAGGAGCCCATGTTCAATCCAGCAGTGGATTGAAAAAGCGCCTTGAATATAACTGTGTACGTCACTCGACGTTCGTCCATCATCGCACGGCACATACAGGCATTTTGAGAGCAGTGGCAGAGTGATTAGCGCACCGTGCTATTCATCTGGCGACCTGAGTTAGATTCCTCGCCATGGTTGTCCACACCAGTGATGAGCGACGCCTGATCAGGTCGTTGCCTCCTCTCCATACACCAGCCCACTGACAGTCGGGACGGTCAACTCACAAACAAACACAGCTGCCCTCCAAACATCGTTGCCGAGTGTCGACACTGCAGACGGAGTTAACGTGAACGTCCTGGGGAGCCTCTCCCCTACTCGAGCACACACAGTGGC